TCGAAGACAGATATCACGTACAATAATGTTAAGTTAAGGGACACATTTGCATCTAATGAAACTTGTGTGCTTTTACTTAACATATTGTCGGTAATTCGACCAATATTATTGCATGTAAAACAGCATTAATAGTTCACAAAACTTATGAATATCTAGCAAGCAAGATGTCAGTGCTTCACATGGCAGCCTTTGCCAGGTGAGTGTCAGTCTAGAGAGGTAGGTGGAGGAGGCAGCGATCGAGCTCTACAGCGCATGAAAAAAAAGGAAGCATAAATCTTTATTGTGAGACCAGTTTTTATCTAATAACCTCTGATGAATGGTTTATTGCTGATGGGTTGTTTTCCCTTCACATCTATACTGAGACAAGCGGCGCAGTTGCAAGTCTGCAACCTCCTCTGTGTTCTCTTCTACAGCAAATTGTAAACTCATAGGCAATGCTAAATCCCCGCCCACCGTCACGCCCGCACCCACATTTCGCTCAAAGCAAAGTTTTATTAAGATAACGTGTTAAAATAAATCATACACTGTGTTCCGTGTCTTCTACGTCACGTTAGAAACGCTGAAAGAAGTTTTGAGACGGAGTATAAAACAATGAACAACTGATGTCGTGTTGAAAAATACATTTATATATAGTTCGAGACATTTATTAGAGCGAACGTTTCGTCACGAGTGGCGAAACGTTTCCTCTAATAAATGTCCTAAACCATACATAAGTATCTTTTTCCATGTCTTGTCGATATCACCATACTATCTTCAACAGACAGCATGCATGCGAAGTAATGGAATACAAATTACTGGCAGTAACTTAATTAAGATATTAACCTGAGTCTGTAGCTATGAGACCAGGAGCACCTGGCTCCCTGCGTCCTATACAGAGTCTTCAGAAAATAACACAACCAGTGGGTTACCTGGAGTCTGTGTGTCGGTGGAAGTTCATCAGGAAAAACTATGGCCACGAAAAACTCCACTCGATTTTTTTCAAGGATTTGTTGAAAGAGAAACGAGCAAAGGAAAACAGGTAACAGTTCTGTGGTTTGAGCAGCTTACCGAAGTGTCGTTTAAAGCTTCCTTTCTAATTTTTTTTGGTTAGAATTGGAAAGGTAAGCAAATGCTCTCGAGTTTGAATAAATGATGCTTAGATACGACTCGTCATCCATTCTTTGTTCCTGTATTCCTGTACCTCTGTTCTCCTGTACTCCTGCAGTACAATATTCCTCTACTTCTGTTCGTCTGTTCTCGTATATTCCTGTACCCACCAGTGCTCATGTACTAATCCTCATGTAATCTCTACTGACTGGTTGCAGTTGCTGCGGGGGTCAAATGTTATTGTTAATGAAGGTATCCATTACATCCAGTTCTTATTTTCTCCAAATATGCGGTTATTTGTGAGCACTGTATTTCACTGACCCTCAGAGAGTAGAGATGCTGGACATCAACCATGGTCATGCAATTGACGGGGTTGTTATATTATTGATGGTAAACAACAGCGACAAGTTGATGAATAAAACATATGTGTAACCCATAAATCTTTGTTACTTTATTAATTCTTCTACTGTCTCTAGTGTTAAACTTCCCCTGTTGTCTGCTGTGCAGGCGAAACACTTCAGTAATAAAGATACCCATGTGTTTTATTCATCGGTGGATGGAAGATCAGGAGAGACCTTAAAACACATGCTAGCTACGATGTCTGTCGTGTACTCACATATTTAAACATCATAATAGCCAAACATATTCAGTATTTTCTTCTAAATTATTTTCTGTGAGTTGGGACACTTTCTGAGAACCTGTGTTATTTTTGTCCCTCCATTTCTTTCACGGAATACTTTTAAATGAATATATTTTATGAGATGAACTCATGCCACTAATTTTGCGTTGCTATTAAAACTCCTTGTCTGACCTGACCTTGACTGTCTCTTCACATGTGCTATTTTCTGCGTTTGTCCTTACTTCTTCACATATCCTATATTCAGGCTTTCTCTTTTATATATATCGCTCACTAACTGAAATTGGTCAAGGACCGACCGAAACTTCGTCTAAAGCTTCTTCGCCAAAATTGTGGGTTTGTTGAGAAGGAAACTGATGCCAAGGTAAGACCGATGTCGATGATTCCACTCTTTATAAAAAGCTATATTTAACTCGTTTCCTTAATGCTTTATCTAAGCCATACCTTATGAAGGTATGATTTAGACAAAAATTACATATACTAATAAATTTATCTAGGTAGTGATTACCTTATAGGTTATTTTTTCAGAGAGGAATTGGTGTTGTTACTATATGCATTTGATTCTTAAAGAGACAAATGAATGTGTCGGCATCTATTATAGATCCTCCATAATAATAATAATAATAATAATAATAATAATAATAATAATAATAATAATAATAATAATAAGTAATAATAATAATAATAATAATAATAATAATAATAATAATAATAATAATAATAATAATAATAATAATAATAATAATGATAATAATAATAATGTTAATAATAATAATAATAATAATAATAATAAAATCATTAAACTATTAATGATAATAGTTTAATGACTTGCCCTTTTATCTCGGCGGGTCTGTACACACAATGTCGTTTCAGTGTTCAGCTTCCTACTGTGGCCGGGAAAAACCTGCCTTGCAATGTGACAAAACACCAGCCATCAACAGTCTACTACAAGTGGTCTGAAAATGACTTGTGATAATAGGGTGCTTCACAAAACAGAAAGAGTTGATACAAAGCCAACATAACGTGCATTAACTTAAGGTATTATTCGTTCTTATATTGATAAATAATACAACTAGGAACGAATATTGATGTTTGGAATGTAGAAAATGTTCTATATTTTGCTAATTTGTTTCATGACATCCAACATGTACGAGAAAATTATTAACAGTCGCTTCTAAAATCTAGGAATTATATTCCACTCAAAATGTGCCTATAATGATCTTTCAGCATCAGTATAAGCATAACAAATGTAAATCAATATTATCCATACTGATATTATCCAATAAATACACACTGTAGTCTTTAGGGAGTAGCCGTCACAACAGCTCCCAAACGTGACGCAAACTCTTCAACGTGGTAACTTGTAGCGTTATAGGTCGGACCTATTTGATGACAAACTGAATAATACACACACACACAGACACACACATGGCTGATACAAGAATATTTGTTTAAAATCATAATAGTCTGTACACAGCACAGGAGAGTGGTGCAGTTTTTACCAAGGTCACTGTACATCGGTGCCAGTGGTCACCATTTTCCTACATCAGTTGCGTCGACCCCGCGCTCTCTATCGGGCTTAGTTTCCTAAGTACATCCCATTCGTTTTATCTGTCACTTGGACACAGTAATCTAAGCATCACTGTACTACTAAGTAAGTCAGAGGTGAAGCATCCATCACTGTGTACAAATTGCAAGTCACCCGTTTTCAGTCGTACTTGAGCGTTAAAATTATCCTTTAATGAAGGAACGATGAGTGATTAGCTTAGTGGTCTTGTGTATGGGATGACATTATGCGTTGATGTGAGAGAGTGAGTCCTTTGAGCTATGTCTAGGAAGTGTAGCGTAGGAGGGCAGTGTTGAGCCGCGGGGAGGAGGCTGAGGCTTCCTAGAAGACGAGGACGAGGAGGACGAGGAACCTCGTTGCAGTGTTGCACTACGATTAGTCCGGGGCGCCAGTACCTCTGGTCCGTCGTCAGTGTAGGAGGCGTGCGGCAGACACTGCACTCCAGACTCTGAAAACTGGCAAGCGGAGGTCCCGCACGGAGCTCCTGGACTGGAAAATTGACTCCCTGAAATGGAGTATTGGTCCGTGGAGGAGGAGTATTGGCTTACACTAGCAGGGTAGTGGGAGCAGTACTGGGAGTGCTGGGGTGGGTACGCACAGGAAGAGCTGGACGTGGCAGGGTATACAGATATGCTGGGTTGCTCACACTGCCCGCCGCCCGAACTCCTGTATTGTTCTAGATTGATCTCTTGATAATGTCCGCTTTTGATCTCTGAGGGGTACTGACCCACGTCAGGAGGGTACTGTCCCACGTCAGGAGGGTACTGTCCCCCACTGACATCTGGATATTGGCCATTATTCACATCCGAGTAGCACCTGGAGCCACCACAAGCCCCGGATTCCATGCCGCCTTCACCATGCTGACCAGTAATGGGCGGTGTGGGAGGTGTGGTGGCCAGGAGGGGCGGGGGTGGGATAAACTGACTGGTAGGCTGAGAGAGAAGTGAGTGCATGGAGTTGCTGGTGTGGAAAGTGACCTCAGTGTTGCGGTCACCAATATCTGGTGGAGTTGGGAAGGTGTGCAGCTCTGTGCACTGCAAGTCAACACTGCAAGACGACTTGCTGTCTTTGACTGGAGACGACAACGCCTCGTGAGTGGACACAGAACGCATCCCACTGTCCACTGTACACAGCGGCTGCGCTGATGCACTGTCGTACTTTATTTTTGGTCCCATGGAGTTTCTGTCCCGCTTGTAGATAAGCGCAGCGAAAAGTATAGCGTTGAGTACCAAAAGCGAGAGTCCAATGGCCACAGTGAGGGTGAGAGCTGTGGTGTAGTCCAGGAACTGCCCTGTGGGTGCCACCTCCGAGGAGGTATTGAGAGGGCGGGTGACACTGCCATGGGCGGCACTCACATTGGGTGGCAAGTACTCATCACTGGGCGTGGGCAAGGAGGGGGCAGCGGACGTCACTGTGACGTGCGTTGTGTGAAGAAACCTGCGAGATACAAGAAGATATTTTGCTTACCAAAGGCCATATATTCTCAACCTCACTACAAAATATTATATTTAATATATTGATGCGCAAATAACACTTAGATGCAGTGGACACCTTCAATAATGGAAACATTTCATTCACACAGTCGGCTTTATTAAGACAGTAATCAAGACACGAGAAAAATGTGTATACGTATGTACTGGTATAAACAACAGGATGTGAGGTGAACGGGAGCATCTGTGATGGAGGAAGCACTGATGGTTGTGTGTTAGA